ATCAAGGCGGACGATTAGTCTCCCTCCCTTCGTGCGCGCGATCACTATCGGCACCACTTTTTCCTGATAATCTCGCTAACGGTGACCGCCTATTCAGAGCTTTCTGACACGTGCTCGACGGGCCCGGATTGATTCCAATCCGGACGCGATTGTGACATTACCGGCGCGCGTGGTTGCGTGATCGCTCTGTTCCAGAGGGTTATTGGAATCGTGTAGAGCGGGCACGCCGGCCTTGAACGGATTGAATTCCTCGTCTCTAGCTGGGCTCTTTCTTTAGCGAGGGCTTCACGAGCGTTCCGGTATGTTAATAATTTCACTCGTCCGAGTAATTATGTACCGGCTGAGGCACGGGAACCGAGTGGTTTTGGAATAATTGTGAAATTCTTAGATTTTGCTGTAGAAGAAATTTAACACGTTGACTGACACGCGTATTTACAACAAAATCTCCTACAGGCCACCCGTGCCGCTATAGGAAGCGTGCGCTGTTAATTCATATCTGTTTCTGTTCCTGCATGAACAGTTGGAATCTTTGCCGAGTACCGAATGGTATAACTTAAAATCTCTGCCCTTATTTTTTTTCAATAATGAAAAGAGATCGGATTGCCCGGAAGGAGAAGCATAAATAAAATTACATCGTCAGATTCTGATTTGGATACTGATAAATATAATCTTAGTGATAATGAATGTTATGAAGATACTATTGACGAGATTTTACGAGAATTGGTCATGGAAGAAGAAAGAAATGTTGACGATACCGAGGAAGTTACAATTCAAATAAAAGCTCAAATAAAACATACGAAATGGACCGATCAGAGGCACGAGCAAATCTGAAAAAACCAACAACTTTTTGTCCAAGCTGTCCTGATCAACCTCAACTTTGCAGAGAACGTTTTAATGTGATACACTGCGAATAATTTTTTTAATAAACCATTTTTATAAGAATTCGATAGTTTCATTACCCCCTGTAGAATATTTGTCGAAATATTTTCGGAAATCCTTTGTAAGTAGTCGAATCAGCGTCACCCGAATTAAGGGTGACGTGGCCTGATGAGAACTTTTGCTGTCACCCGAATACGGGTGACGCGGCAGTCAACGTGTTAATGTTAGATCGTTGTAAGTACATAGCATTTTATTGTTATTCACGTTCGGGAAATGAAATCTGACATTTTGAAGTGAAATGAATATGAAGTCTGATCATTTCCGCTGACACAAGATTGTGTCATGCGAGCGAATAGAATTATTTCGATGTATGTACATTAAATCTAAGACGAAACGCATGTGGAATTGTGGTCACCGACTCGATATTTTCAACAAAACAATCGTACGCGAACAACCGATATCCTAGTGACCAAGGAAAACCACTTGGTTCCTGTGTCCCACCCAGTATATTTCATCGTTCGCTCGTTCTACCGTTCGCTGTTCTTTCCGTGCGACTGCTTCAGCAAATTTTGCATATAGATTCTACCTATTGCAGCCAGTTGGTACATTGCGTAAGAAGATTGTTATATTCTATATGTTTTTCTACATTTTGACACCTTATACAATTCCAAAGGCATAGGGTTGTTCGTTTCGCTACGTTTTGTTCGATTTCCTACGTGTATTAGATTGATGGGAAATACATTGATGGGAAACATGAACAGCTGAGATATAAAAACGCGAAGACGCAAGAACAATTTAATGGTAGCACAGGCTAATGGTAAAACAGTTTAATGGTACGCTACTTTAAACTGGTCGAAACTTATTGAGAGGAACAATTGTGTTTTCATTTAACCCCGTTTGGTGTCAGCCGAAAATTCCGCAGCTATGCGAAAAAAACTGATCTAAGTCGTCGTGATTTGGTAAAGCTTGACGAAAAAGAGAAAAAGCTTACACAAATTCTGCAGAAAATAATCATTGCAAAATTCTTAATGGAGTACAGTAATTTCTCCTTAATTCGCACTTCGATTGCGCAGAAAAAATAGAAAATTTGGGAAGAGAAGATACGATTATTCGAGCTTTGTACCTATTTTTTATAATTATTGACAATCGGCAACTATAAAAATGAGCCGCGTGGCTCGAACAATCGTATCTCCTCTTCCCAAATTGTCCATTCTTGTACGCAATCAGAGCACGAATTGCGGAGAAATTACTGTGTGTGTGTGCCAAGAAAAACAAAGGTATGATCTATTAAAATTATTAAGAGAATAAACTTGTCTCTAACGTAGCCAGCACTATAAGGATTAATTTCTGTTTCGCACAATCGTCATGATTAAATTTGTATCGTTGCACAAAGATCCGCGATCCGGTTACACCGTACACTTCGCTAAAACCATCGAACTAGACAATCTACCGTCCTTGTACTCGTTCTAACGACAAAGACCGCAATAAAGATGACCGAGCCGCCGCGACGCGGCGTTCAATTTGCGGGGGCGAATCCAGAAAAATTAGCCGGTGATCTCGCCCCGAAAAAAGAAGAATAATCGCGCACGGTTAGGGGGTTGATATTTCTCTCCGGTAGGACAGGGGGAATAAATGAAATCCGTGGAAGGTAAGCGTTCGAACCAGGACAGCGGAAGAAGTAGCCTCCGCCGTCTAGATTCCTCTGTCTCCGTTCCCGCATGGGTTCTAAATCCCGAGGAGAGAGATCCGAGAAGCGTGGGAGTAAGTTCGCTGTAGGAGGGCTCGGAGGAAGAAGGGGACAAGTGCCCTTTATCAAGCAGGTCTCCGCGGAGATCTCCTCGGCGATCCCGCTGCAAATGAGTGGAAGCGAAAAACGAGGCGACCTTTTGATCAACTTCGTGATCCAATCTCTCGGCAAAGAGCCGTTCGATGTAAGCCGATGGAAGCGGATCGCTCGGCTGCGCTCGCGCGTGCACCCTGCGCCCCCTCAACGTTCACGGCGTGTAACTATAAAACAGTCCATGGAATATCAACCTCGTCGTCCCCGATAATAATTCCCTTTGATAGCTCGGCCCGCGGGCAAAGGGAAACCAGGATCATTATTCCCGAAGGCGAGACCGACCGGGTACACAGAACCGATTCCCGGCCAAGTGGGATCCGTTCGATCGAATCGAGTGCTTCCGCGCAAACGTAATATTTATCCCGTCGCGGATTTCAAAAGATTCGCGGGCCCGCGGAGTTAAGGGAACACGGAATTGTGTCGCCGAAAAATTGTCGATCTTTCGATACAATATTCTATTATATCCGTTCTCTCTTTAAAGGTTCGAGTCTTCTTTTCCACGCCCTACGGCCCGGTGTCTTCTTTTTTTTACAAAGTTCTTCTTTTGTTACAAAGCCGACCGAGAAAATGAAGTTGCTGCTCTCTGCAGTTGTACAGATTCAAACGGGTCTGCGAAGTTCTAACAATTTTTTTTCTACATTTCCTTCAGCGTCACGATACCAGGCGACTCGACAGAAGCGATTTTTTATTTGAAAACTCTTTTGTTCGCGATGCAAAGAATCTTCTGTTATGATCTACGCGCGGATGCTGCGATTAGAGAATTTGTTCGGTCATTTTCTGTGAAAGAATCTTCATGATTTCAGCAACTTCGGTCAAAAAATGTGGATCCGATCATTTTCGTCGTCTTGGTAGGTTTTGCGTCAATAACGATGGCTAAAATTTGCGCTGATTGTATAATTATAATAGTAATAATAATAATAGTAATAATAATAATAAGAAGAAGAGGAAGAACTGTATTTTTAGAAATTTTGCGACTGAATGTATAATAATAATAGTAATAATAATAAGAAGAAGAAGAACAGTATTTTTAGAACTTCAGCGACTGAAT